TCGATGAACCATATTTATTTATTTTTGAATGACCGTGCAATGTCTAAGTCCTTTAAGTTTTCTAACCAACCCATGTAGCAAGTGTTAGGCCAAGAACTCCCAAACCAGATGGTTTTAGGGTGCTAAGTGTAGAAACATTCCTAGGGCTTAATAACTCGAGTTGGAAAGGTTACGAACTCAAACTGGTCATATTTTTATTATTATTATTATTTTTTATTTTATTATTATTATTATATATATATATATATGCCAAGGGTATCCATTTATTAGGGTCATTAATTCAGATCAACTGAGTCCGAGTCAAGGTCAATTGGGTTACATACCTCACAATTAGGTTTCCTATGTGCGTATTTGCAATGTGAAGTGTAAGCACATGCACCCCCAAACTTGAACGTCACATTGTCCTCAATGTGAGAAGATAAAAATAAAAATAAAACTGAGAGTGCCAAGAACAATAGTACCAAGTTAAGGAAGAATGGAGTGGCGGTGCAAAAAAAGGCCATTTCATGAATTCCATGAGCATACCCCCAAACTTGAATTCAAAAACCTGTCAAAAGCATCTATACAGAGCAAGAATCATATGAATCCAAAAATCACTAACGATAACTGTAATTTATTTCAAAGCTAATATCCATGCAAAGAAGCAAAATGGAATCCAGTTATAAGCTCAAAAGAAACTGGAAAATAAATGTCAAACACGGACCAAAAGAAGTCTAAAATAGTACTACGGGAAAAAGGAAATAAAACTAGAAGCATAAAATCACTCCACCATCGGAGTGGAGGAGGAAGCACCAGGTGCACCAGGCGCATGGTCAATTAATGATTAGAGCATAGCCTGTAAAATCTCTTGATTCTCCTGAGTTTTTTGGACGACACCCTCTATGGCGTCAAAGTGCAAGTTAAATGCATCAAGACGAGCATTCAGGGCGAGATAGTCAGCTTGGGTCATAACATCTAACGGCGAAGGCGCAGGGACATCATGAACAGGCGAAGCAGGAGCCACAGGGGGTACTGGAGCACCCCAAACCAACTCGCCACCAATGCGGGCCTGATAGGACGTCTAAAGCTGAGCTGTGCTCGACTTCCAGACCCCAAGAGAAAAATCAAGAACCATTTTTTCTTTATCTTCACTCAGGGGTGCTTTGAATCCGGCATCTTTAAGCAACCTTGTGATAAAGTAAGGAAAAGGGAATGCCCATGTGGTGGTAATGCGCAACCTAACTAAGAGTAATTCATTATAAATTTTTAGCATTTGGTCCAAGAGAGGCTGTGGGACATAAAACCAATACCCTTTTTCAGCATTGTAGAAGGTTTTCAGAAAATCCCCCTTATGCTCGGAATGGCCTGGCACGGGAAGGACATTTTTAGCGAGGACCGAATTAAGAAACCACAACCGACATGGCAAAAAGGACTTGTGGCTCGAGTGCTGGTGAATTGGCATTGGTAAATCTCCCCCACAATGTCAGGAGGAGTAACATAGAGAGGCAAGCCCGCCCCATCCACAGGAGATTCCAATGGGCAGTCCATAGCCATAGCAAGGTTATCAAGGGTAAACTCATACTCATAATCATCAATAGTGGTTTTGATTTTGTCCGGCTCCGCACATGAATAGAACATGTTGGCGTAGAAAAGATGGACCACGCGTGGGTAGTAAGAGTGAGCACGTAGTTTGAAGAGAGTTTCAAGACCACGCTCCTTTAATTTACGGATAGACCACGCCGTCTCATGATTATGCTTAAAACCATCTTTGATAGCGAACTCTTCGGGAACGATTGGCCATTCAGCCTAATTTGGGGTTGGAGGTGCATTAGAAGGGCCCTCGGATGATCTAGCATGCTTGAAGGCCACTCTAGAAGCCATTGGATGGAGGAGAAATGGTTCAGACCTTTTTACGATAACCTGGTGTGCAGTGAGAAAGGGAAGAGATGCAAAATAGTGAGAGAACTTAAAAAATCCTAAAAATTTGAAGTCATTAATCAACAAAACACAAGGCCCAACAACTACACATCCTCTACACAATCAACCCCGTCCGCCATGAAGCAAAACTTGAAATAGGTAGAAGAAAAGGAACTTACCAAACTATGAAGAACACAAGACCTTGCTTACTTGATTGATGAGAGATGGGAATGAGAGTTTGTTGATGGGAGATGAGATGTGAGATGGATGGGATGAGATGGAGATGGACAAGATTAGGAAGAGAGATGGAGGTTTTGAAGGTCTGAAAGGGGTTAGGGCGAGAGTGGAAAGGGAGAAGAAGAATTATAAAGCATAAATGGGCTTGAAAGCCCATTTAAAAATTCAGCGGAGGGAAGCCGCGGGCGGCCGCTGTCGCGCGGCGGGTGCCCGCGGAAGCTCAGCGGGGCCCCGCGAGTTAACTAAGGCTATTGGAAAGTTTCGCGGGTGCCCACAGTGGCGCCGCAGGCGCTTGCGGAGGCTCTATTGATGCTGCCTTGTGCAGCTTACTCAGGTTTTGCAAGGCTCTGACGGAGTCACTTGGACTTCCAACATGAATTGAAGTGTGACGGAGAGCCTAATAACCGCGAAGAATGAGATGGAACAAATTAATTCAGAACCGATGGCCATGAGATTCAAACAATACGAGAACCTTGGGAGACATGCCCATATGACCATAAATATTTCCAGAAGTTGAACAAAGACCTGAAGATGATGAAGAAAACCAAATGTAACCTCTGGGATGCCCGATGAACAATTTCGGAAGCATGCACATTTTGGTCGAACTTTGTGACCTCCCAGAAATTTCGTAGAACTAGGCACTTGGGAGAAAGAAGCTTGGAGGATGGAAGAATTGCTTGTGATGAGGGCTAAATTTAGCGTCGATAGCTAGACGAAGTAAGATCGCACATTAGTCCTCGTAGACTAGGTCCGTTAAGAGGACTTTCTCTACTTTGAGGATATAGACTATGCTGTCAATGTAAGGCTTAAGCCATTAGCCATTAACCTTAAACATAGATCCATCAGCCGGATCTTGAAGCTCGACTGTTCCATGAGGAAAGAGGGCAGTGATGGCATATAGACTATCCCACCATGAACGGAGTTTACCAGGAAAGAGTCTCAATCTAGAATTGAAAAGCCAAACTTTTTATCCAGGGGCAAAAGACTTTTTGACAATGTGCTTGTCATGAAAAGCTTTAGTCTTTGCCTTATAGATTTTGACACTTTCATACGCATCATTGTGAAGTTCCTCAAGCTCATTGAGCTGCAATTTGCGAGTAGAGCCTTGACTTGGTGGTCTCCTCCGCTAGCCATGTCTACTCCCTTGACGAACCTGCTCTGATACCAACTATCACGGGCTTAGAGTTTTAACACCACTCTAGCTACTCCCGTGCAGCACCAAGACGTTGCTTCTACTCTTGCAAGTACTTGGTCAGCCTAACTCCCGTGCACACCTTAGCCAACACACTCCCCTCGTGCGCTTACTAGTGTTGTAGTGGCCCTCGCCCTCTCCTCACTTGGCTTGCACACTCACACATACTAAGACACTTAAGTTGACAAGGAAAGAACACTTCTATTACTTCAAAGAATGCTTTGTACAAGGCTAGCTCTCAAACTCTCTACACGGCTCTCAAGACTCACTCTAGGACTTGTTGCCTACAAAATGAAGTCTTACCTCTATTTATAGGCATCCCCATCCCTAATGGATGGCTAGGATGCATTCTAACCAACGGTGGAGATCGATTCTCTAGAATCTTCTCCCACATTCTTCACATTGCCATACTTATCTACAAGTATCTACAATATTCTATAACTCTCCATACTACTCCACACAATTTTGGAGAACTCTAGAATATACTACATATATCTAGAATCTTCCACACAACTCTAGACAACTCCGGAAGATTCTAGAAACTCCACTCGCCATGTAGTTGCCATGCAGTATCCTCCTCAGCGTCTGCGTGTCGCCTGGGTGGCACAACCTCCATAGGCGGGGCGTGACATTATGCTTATCCTATTATTTTTAACATTTTTTAGGACACAGAAAAAAGGTGGCGGACGACGATCCACCACAGGTTTAGACGAGCTTAGAGACTTATTTTATTTTGCTATCTTTTGTATTAGAACTTTAATATTTTGTAAATTTAATCTTAACTATTTTGTGAAACTTTAGTTTAATTGGTACAATGTTGTAAGCTATGGACTTTTAAATTCTAGCTATATTTTATGGACTGTAACTTGATGTAACTAAGGTGTGTTTGTTGTTTGGATGAAATACTGGAAGGGGATTTTTGATACGTATGCGATCATTTTGAGAATGTGATATAATAAATGTATTATGCGTTGGGACATGATAGGTTGTTTTTAAGGCCCAGTGGAGGTCATGCCGAAATTTTATATATTTTATTTTTATTTTGGTATCTTTTTAGGTCATTAAAAATTTGGTATCAGAGCCATGGTTTGAATACCATGATGACAACGGGTAGAGGCCAACCTAGGATTGCAAAGGGAGTTGAGTTATTTGTTTACTTGCTTAATTGCTTACGTGATTGCATGTTTATACGCTTATGTGTTAAGATGATTAATTATTTGAAAGGCATGCTTAATTGTTTAACTGTTTATATGATTACGTGCTAAGTGCTCAATGTTGTTGTATATTATTAGCATGATCATATTTATCATTAGTTGGGTATTCTGGGAGTATGGAAGGTAGTTTATGTGTTTCCATTCTTGTCAAATCATTCGTATAAGGACTTCGTTCTCATGCATATTTTAGGGTCATCGTAATTGATCCGTTTCCTTTTTCTCATAGCGTCATGCCACTATGAAGGGATCTCGGGGAAAGTTCTAGCTCCAATCCCGTGGAAAGGGATCATGAGCAAGTTGATGAAGATATTTTGTTACGTGATTTGGTCATACCAAGAGGGGGACAAGTGAGGGGGACCGTTGATCCACCTTTTTAGATAAATGAGGAGCAGTTGAGGTTGGCCGTTCAGACAACTCTTTTTAATGTATTTCAACCAGCAGGTGCATCATTGTCATAGTTTATGCCGCTGCCGCCACCACCACCACCACCACCACCACCACCTCCAAAAACAAGTGAGACAGATGATACTTTTTATCACATTTCTAAGTTTGTGAAGTTGATGCCGACCTTGTTTGAGGGCGGTCTAGATCCGCTTATTGCAGATAGTTTCATGGATAGAGTGGAGAAGTATATTAATGCTATGAATTTGGCGACGGACAAGTTGAGGATCACTTTGGCAACTTATAACTTTGTTGGTGATGCTAAGATTTGGTGGAAGACCATTGCTCACACCCATAATCTGGACACAATGACTTATACATTTAAGAAGTTGTACTATGAGAAGTACTTTCCGGCGCCTAAGCGGAGGGAACTAAAAAAGGAGTTTGATGGGTTGAAGCAAGGAAACATGACAATTACAGAGTATGAGAATAAGTTTATATCACTTTTGAGTTTTGCACCTGGGATTGCTAATGATGAGGAAGGAAAGATAGAGAAATTTATTGATGGCCTTAATCTTACCATTAGGCCAATTGTAGCTGCCTTAGAACCGACAGAGTATGTAAAAGCAATACGAAAAGGCTTAGTGGTTGAGGCTGAGAACAAAGACAGCAAGGCTATCAGGGAGTCCTATAAGCACAACAGGGGTATGAGTGCTTTCTTCAAGGGACAATCAAGTAAGAAGCAGAAACATGAGTAGTCGAGGTTGAGGGGACAACAGTCAGCCAGATCCGTACCCATAGTTTCAGTATGTATGGGGTTTTTTAGACCGAATGTTACTTGTTTCAGATGCGGGCAGCCGGGATATTACAAGTCCCAATGCACTTAGGCTCAGGTAGCTCAAGTGATTAGTTTCAAGTATGGCAGTCAGAGCATCACAAGTCCCAGTGTACTCAGATTCAGGTGGCGTTTGGTGGATGTTTCGGGTGTGGCCAGCAGGGCCATAGGGTGAAAGATTGTCCATAGCGGGACAGTGGTTTAGGCAGAGGTAGAGGTTTACAGCAGAGGCAGATGCAGTCTGCCACAGTTCAGTCAGGGTTTTGACCACCGCCACCACCACCTCAACCATGTCAGCCAGCCATGTCAGCCTAAAGTTCTCTATCGGGTAGGGGAGCTTCTTCGAGTGTACCCACTCAGCAGTCTAGTTATCAGGCAGGCAGTTCTCAGGGCAGAAGACCCAGGGTTGCATGTTTGCACTCACTTCAGCCGAGCCACTATCCAGTCCTTCAATTATCAGGGGTATGTTTCTTGTGTCCCATTCTTAGGCTCGTGTATTATTTGATTTCAGTGCTTCTTATTCATTCATTGCTTCATCATTTGCACTGGCATTGGTTTGGAGGTTAGTCAGTTAGACAGACCGCTTTGTGTTGACATGCCTATTGGGGGTTCAGTCACTCTTGGTAGAGTTTTTCGGGGTTGTTCCATTACCATTACCAGACGGGTATTAGAGTTCAATCTCATCCTTCTCTAGATGACAGGATTTGACGTCATTCTTGGGATGGACTGGTTGTCGTCCTTCAGAGCTGTCATTGATTGTTTCAAGGGAAGAGTTTCAGTGTGTACCTCGGATAGGGATTATTTCTGTTTTGTGGGAGATTGGTGTGATCCTCTCACTCCTTCATTCTATGGTGTTAGAGGTCAGGATCGGCAGATGTTCTTCTTGGCTAGCCTGTTCGCCGATGATGATGTGGAGTTTTGTGGGGTAAATTATCGAGAAGTTGTACATGATTTTCTAGACGTGTTTCTGGAAGATTTGACAGAGTTGCCTCCACATAGAGAGGTAGAGTTTGCTATTGATTTGATGCCTGGTACCATGCCAATTGCTATAGCACCGTATCGTATGGCACTAATTTAATTGGAAGAATTGAAGAAACATCTTAATGAATTGAGGATGAAAGGCTTCATCCGACCGAGTGTGTTACCGTGGGGTACACCGATTTTGTTCGCTAAAAAGAACGATGGTTCTTTGCTGTTGTACATTAATTACCGAAAGTTAAATCATGCAACCATAAAAAACAAGTATCATTTACCAAGGATAGATGATTTGTTTGATCAGTTGAGGGGAGCCATTTATTTTTCAAAAATTGACTTGAGGTCAGGTTATTATCAGTTACAGGTCAGAGAGGAGGATATTCCAAAGACCGCTTTCCATACGCGGTATGGACATTTGAGTTTCTTGTCATGCCCTTTGGTCTGACTAACGCACCAGCGGCATTCATGGATCTAATGAACCATGTCTTCCACGATTACTTAGATCAATTTGTGGTAGTTTTCGTGGATGACATTCTTATGTATTCATGGACTTGGGAGGAACACGAGGTCCATTTGAGTATAGTGTTGCAGATTCTACAGGAGTACCGTTTGTACGCCAAATATGAAAAGTGTGAGTTTTGGCTACAAGAGGTGAAGTTTTTGGGACATGTTATCTCAAAAGACGGGGTTTCAGTTGATCCTTTAAAGATAGAGGCAGTTTTAAATTAGGAGCAACCCAAAAATGTCTTTGAGATCTGGAGTTCTCTTGGCCTAGCGGGTTATTATCAGAGATTTGTGAAGGATTTTTCTCGTTTGGCAGCTCCTATGACCAAATTGACCCGGAAAGGGATCAAGTTTGCATGGAATGAGGCCTATGAGTCTTCCTTTCAAAAGCTGAAAATATTGTTAACTACGGCTCCAGTGTTGGTGATACCCGGGCGTGGCTTGGGTTATGTGATCTATTGTGACGCCTCATGTGATGGTTTAGGTTGTGTACTGATGCAAGATGGTAGAGTAGTGACTTATGGGTCTTGACAGTTGAAGACTCACGAGCATAACTACCCTACTCATGACTTAGAGCTAGCGGCAGTCGTTTTTGCCTTGAAGTGTTGGAGACACTATTTGTATGCTGAGAGATTTATGGTGTTCTCGGATTACAAGAGTCTCAAGTATCTTTTCTCCCAAAAGGACTTGAACAACAGATAAAGGCGATGGGTTGAGTTTTTAGAAGACTACAACTTTGATTTGCAGTATCATCCAGGTAAGGCAAATATGGTAGCTGATGCTTTAAGCCAGAAATCTCGTAGGACTTTGGCTGGGTTAGCCATTCGAAAGTGGAAGATGCTTGAAGATTTGGCTGAAATGGGATTGTATTGCTTCGACGACGATGATGATGATGATGGAAATGAGTCAGCATTCTTGTTTAGTCTCGTGGCTCAACCCACTCTTGTCAGACGGGTGATTGAGTCACAGAGACAAGATTCGGATTTGGATGCCATTTACACCTTGATCTCCAGTGGCGAGACTGATCAGTCTCGTCAGCTATCACAATAATAATCAACCCTTTGCAATAGCACAAATCATTATAAAATAGGGTTATTGTTCGGGTAAGTCGAACAAATGGGATTGCTAGTTTATGGCTACCAAGGTTGTTAAAATCACTTAGTTTGATGAAGGGGGTATAGAGTTTTGTTTGGTTTGTCACTTAGAACTAAGGATTAAAGAGTGCATAAAACAATAATTGCAAGGAAATTAAGAGGAAAGAAATCTAGGTAGAGAGGACTAGGGAAGTGAATCCATTACCTACCCTATAAACATGCTAGAAAATGATTTACATGGCAGAACAACATATATAGTGGCCATGATATGTAGCAACACATGGTTTCTACATTATCTTCAAGAAGTTCATTAAATCAAAAGGCAAGAATAACCTATCAAAGTTTCACATGCTTGAACTACCTAAACTAAGGTGTAGCCTTAGACATCCTCACTAAGCTAGAGATTATCAAGCCCTTAATCAAATGATAAAAGCACATGAAATCAAGAATCAAGATTAATCCATCAAAGGGAGGCCCTAAGCTATGGACTAACAAGGTTCTCATAAAACATGCCATTAAAACCATTTTGCAATCTCATTTTCATTGTCACAATAAAAATGCAAGCTATACAATCATGAGAAATTATGATCCAAGACAAGACAATAGCTTCAACATAATCATTTATAGAGATTTATATCCATTACAACATGCAATATGCTATAGATTGCAAAACTACCACAAATATACATTCTTCCCCAAATTAAACCAAACTAAGGCATGCTTACAAAGTAGGGCTTCATCACCTCCCTAGAAAGGGAGTTAGTTACCCATGGATGCAAGGGAGAAAGGAGAAGAGAAGAGGAAGCCTTCCATTTTCGCACCTAAAGGACCCAAGACACACAAACCCTCAAGCTCTCATATTTCTCTCTCTGAAAACTTTCAAAATGTGAGATCCAAAAAATAATGCTTCAAGCCTCTTATCTAGCCAAAAATATCCTCATTTTCCCTCCATTTTTGTGGCTCAATGTAATACCCCTAATTTTAAAAGGACAGTCTTGGAATTTAATTTAATTATTTTTGTGCATTTTTAATAAATTAGTTGTTTAATTGCTTGTATTATTGGACTTAATTGATTATGTGCTTGTTTGTCTTTTTATTTGAATTACTTGTTGATTTATTTTATTTAAATGAGTTTTTATTTTCTTTAATTAAATTAATTGTTTTAATTTGCTTAATGGTGTAATTGTATTATTTATTTTGTTTATATGCATTATTTAGTTAAATTAGTTTTATTAATGGTTTTAACTATATAAAATAATTATTAGGTTTTTATGTTTTATCACGTTGTGGGATTTAGCCGACTTATAGTTGGTTTAGGTTTTAATTTAGGTTTTCAAGTAAAGCCTATAAATACGTCATTATACGTCAGTATAAGGGTTACAAACAAACCCTATTCACGTATTGAGTCAGAGAGAAACAGAGAGTAAATTAGAGAGAAATAGAGAGTGAACCTTGAGAGATTTACTGAGAGGTTCAAAGAGAAAGGAACATGTTTGCTTTTGAGTTGAACCAAGAGCACTGGAAGGGTGGAACGGCAGTCTAGGACGTTGACGGAAAACTCAGAGACGGTGGTTTAGAGTTTCAAAATCTGAAACTAAAGGCAAGTCTCTATTCTACTCTTTCCCTTAAATCTGTGCTCTGTGCATGCCTAGCTAGACTCCAGGGGTTTAATGAATGCTAAAATTGAGTAATTATGCATGCTTAGTTAGACTAAAACAGAGGGTGAATGATTTTGTTTTCATATTCCTGTTTTGAATGATTTTGGAAATTTTTGATGCATAATTAATGTTTAAGTTTAATTTTTGTATGTTAAAACATCTAAAATAATTTAGTATGGATGTATGGGACTTGGGTTGAAGTTTAGAGGCTTTAACTATGGAGTTTTAGGGTTTATAAAGGCTGAACAGACGAAAATGACGACTTCAGCAACAACTCAGCCGACTAAGTTGGCAACTCAGCCGACTAAATTGACAACTCAGCTGACTAAGTTAGGAACTCAGCCTGCTAAGTTGGCAACTCAGCCTGCTCAGTTGAATCGCGACCTGGATTTCAGTTTTAATTGCCCAAAATTATTTCTAAACCTATTTTAATTAATCTAAATGGGTTTAATGGACTTAAGAAGATCCCAGAATGCATCTTATATCTATATATGCTAAGAAGGTGGATGGTTTGGAAATTAAATAACTTATATGTTGTTTAGATCGGATGGAAGGGTAAATTTAATTGCTCTGACAATGTTTAAACGGATTAAACAATGTTCATGAAACGTTATATTTGTTTATCTGAGATGTATGTTAGTGACTTTGAGGGTAAGTTAGCTGCATGCTATTTAAACTGTGGTATTGCTTAA